CCGGAGCTCGAGGTCGAGGGGCCGAAGGTTGATCTGGAAGGAAAAGCTAAAAAATCCAGGTTCAAGCTCCCCAAATTTGGCTTCTCCGGCCCCAAAGTTCAAAGCCCTGAGGTGGATGTGAAGCTGAAGAAACCCGAGGTGGAAGTGTCCGGTCCCAAAGTCGAGGTTCAGGCTCCCGATTTGGACGTCCAGGCGAAATCCAAAGGCTCCAAGTTCAAAATGCCTTTCCTGAATATTTCCTCCCCCAAAGTGTCGATGCCGGACGTGGAACTGAACCTGAAAGGGCACAAAATGAAAGGGGAGTTGGACCTGTCCGGCCCCAAACTGGAAGGGGAACTGAAGGGCCCCGAGCTGGACATCAAAGGCCCCAAGGTGGACATCGAGGCCCCCGACGTGGACGTTCACGGCCCGGAGGGGAAAATCAAAATGCCCAAGTTCAAAATGCCCAAATTTGGGCTCAAGGGGGAGGGGCCAGAGGTGGACGTGAACCTGCCGGCGGGAGAGCTGGACGTGTCCGGTCCCAAGGTGGACATTGAAGGTCCAGAGGTGGACGTTGAGCTGCCCGAGGGGAAGATCAAAGGCCCCAAGTTCAAGATGCCCGAGATGAACATCAAGGCCCCCAAAATCTCGATGCCTGACATTGACCTGAACTTGAAGGGCCCCAAAGTGAAGGGGGACGTGGATGTGTCCCTCCCCCAGGTGGATCTAAAAGGACCCAAAGTGGACGTGGAAGTTCCCGACCTTGACGTCGAAGGGCCCAAAGGAAAAATTAAAGGCCCCAAATTTAAAATGCCCGAGATGAACATCAAAGCCCCCAACTTGTCCATGCCAGACCTGGACCTGAGCCTGAAAGGTCCCAAGCTGAAAGGGGGGGTGGACGTCGACCTGTCAGCGCCAAAACTCGAAGGCGACGTGAACGTGCCGGACATCGACATCAAAGGCCCCAAAGTGGACATTGAGGGGCCAGAGGTGGACATTGAAGGGCCTGAGGGGAAGATCAAGGGCCCCAAGTTCAAGATGCCCGAGATGCACATCAAGGCCCCCAAAATCTCCATGCCTGATGTCGACTTCAACCTGAAGGGCCCCAAAATGAAGGGGGATGTGGATGTTTCTCTTCCCAAACTGGAAGGTGACCTGAAGGGCCCTGAACTGGACATCAAGGGCCCCAAGGTGGACATTGATGCCCCTGATGTGGACATTCACGGCCCAGAGGCGAGGTTCAAGATGCCCAAGTTCAAGATGCCCAAGTTTGGGATGCCCGGGGTCAAGGCTGAAGGCCCCGAGGTGGACGTGACCCTGCCGACAGGAAACCTGGATGTGTCCGGTCCCAAGGTGGACATTGAAGGTCCAGAGGTGGACGTTGAGCTGCCCGAGGGGAAGATCAAAGGCCCCAAGTTCAAGATGCCCGAGATGAACATCAAGGCCCCCAAAATCTCGATGCCTGACATTGACCTGAACTTGAAGGGCCCCAAAGTGAAGGGGGACGTGGATGTGTCCCTCCCCCAGGTGGATCTAAAAGGACCCAAAGTGGACGTGGAAGTTCCCGACCTTGACGTCGAAGGGCCCAAAGGAAAAATTAAAGGCCCCAAATTTAAAATGCCCGAGATGAACATCAAAGCCCCCAACTTGTCCATGCCAGACCTGGACCTGAGCCTGAAAGGTCCCAAGCTGAAAGGGGGGGTGGACGTCGACCTGTCAGCGCCAAAACTCGAAGGCGACGTGAACGTGCCGGACATCGACATCAAAGGCCCCAAAGTGGACATTGAGGGGCCAGAGGTGGACATTGAAGGGCCTGAGGGGAAGATCAAGGGCCCCAAGTTCAAGATGCCCGAGATGCACATCAAGGCCCCCAAAATCTCGATGCCTGACCTGGATCTGAACCTGAAGGGCCCCAAAGTGAAGGGGGATGTGGACGTGTCACTGCCAGGAGTCGAAGGAGAACTGAAGGGTCCCGAGGTCAGTGTCGCCGCCCCCGACGTCCACATCGACAGCCCGGAGGGCAAATTCAAACTCCCCAAATTCAAGATGCCCAAGTTTTCCATGCCTGGATTTAAAGGGGAGGGGCCAGAGGTGGACGTGATCCTCCCGAAGGGCGACATCAACATTTCGGGCCCCGGCGTGGACGTGGAGGCTCCTGATCTGAGCGCGGGCGGGAAAGTCAAAGGTCCCAAATTCTCCATGCCCGAGATGCACATCAAGGCCCCCAAAATCTCCATGCCCGACGTCGACTTCAACATCAAAGGGCCCCACCTAAAAGGAGACATCGACGTGTCGGCCCCCAGGCTGGAGGGGGACCTCCAAGCCCCCCAGATCGACGTGAAAGGCCCCAAAATCGACGTTGAGGCTCCCGATGTGACCCTGGAAGGGCCCGAAGGGAAACTCAAAGGCCCCAAGTTCAAGATGCCCGAGATGAACATCAAGGCCCCCAAGTTCTCCATGCCTGATGTTGACTTCAACCTGAAGGGCCCCAAGGTCAAGGGTGACGTGGGCGTGGCGGCGCCAGCGCTGGAGGGGAACCTGCAGTGCCCAGACCTCGACATCAAAGGCCCCAAACTGGACATTCAGGCCCCAGCGGTGACCGTGGAAGGGCCCAAGATCAAGATGCCCGAAATGCACGTCAAGACCCCCCAGATCTCCATGCCTGACATCGACTTGAACTTGAAGGGCTTGAAGGGCAAAGCTGATGCTGAATTCCACGGCCCGAAGCTCGAGGGGGGTCTGAAGGGCCCCGAGGTCGATATCAAGGGGCCCAAAGTCGACATCGAGGGCCCGGCGGTCGACGTCGACGGTCTGGAGGGAAAAGTGAAGCTGCCCAAAATGAAAATACCCAAATTCGGCTTCAAAGGGGAAGGTCCCGACGTGGACGTGAACCTGCCGAAGGCCGAGGTGGAGCTTTCGGGCCCCAAGGTGGACCTCGACGTCCCAGAGGTGAACCTGGAGGGGCCAGAGGGCAAAGTGAAAGGTCCTAAGCTGAAAATGCCCGAAATGCACGTGAACGTCCCCAAAATCTCCATGCCCGAGATAGACTTGAGCTTGAAAGGCCACAAAACCAAGGGGGGCTTTGACCTTTCGGCCCCGAAGGTGGAAGGTCACCTGAAAGGGCCTGAGGTCGACCTGAAAGGCCCAGAATTTGGGGTCAAAGGCCCCGAAGTCGACGTCGAATGTCCGGACCTGAGCGTCGAGGGCCCCGAGGCCAACGTCAAACTTCCCAAGTTCAAGAAGTCCAAGTTTGGGTTCGGGATGAAAAGCCCAAAGGCCGAAGTGGATTTACCTGAGGCGGAGCTGAGCCTGGAGTCACCCGATGTCAACCTGTCCGGAAAGGGCAAGAAGAGCAAATTCAAGATGCCCAAAATCCACATGAGTGGCCCCAAAGTGAAAGGGAAGAAGGGGGCGTTCGACGTGAACGCGGCCGGGGCGGAGCTGGACGCGGATCTCAGCGTCGCCGGCCCCGACGTGACCGTCAAAGGCGACGCCGCCGTGAAGTCCCCCAAGGGGAAGAAACCCATGTTCGGCAAAATCTCCTTCCCGGACGTCGAGTTCGACCTGAAATCGCACCGGTTTCGAGGGGAGGCGTCCGCGGGGGTCCCGAAAATCGAGGGGGAGCTCAAAGCGCCGGATCTGGAAGTTTCCGTGCCCGCGGTCAAAGGGGACGTCAAGGGGCCGAGTCTCAGCGTGGACCTTGAAGCTCCCGACGTGAACCTGAAGTCCCCGAAGCTCAAACTCCCTGGGGGGCAGGTGGGTGTGGGGGACGGGAAAGTCGGG